GGCGGTGAAGTTTCTGTTCCTGTAGATGTATTTGATCATACAAGAGATCCATTGTTGAAGTCATTTTGGGATACGGTTCTGAACGATGAGCATCTCTTCTACATGATTCGCCCCTTGAATAATCTTCTTGCTTGTGCTGGTGTGCAGCTGAACTTGAAATCTTTCTCTGGGAGTTGTGCACAACGGCCTTTAGTATTACAAGGACGATTCGATGTTGGGTTATGCCATCTTAACCCCGATTCGGAAAGAGCCTGTTTTGCTCAACTCTACATTGCGGATGATCGTAAGGTGGAACAATCCATTCAGGAAACCATGAAACTATGGGATACCAAAGTTGATACTGGATTGATACACGACGTTATGCGTATACTGAAGAAGCATAATCCTATAGTGCAGTCATACATGACCATGTATGAAATTTACGTGGAAGAAATGAGAAGACTTCGCCGCAACAATGTGAACGAAGACATTCCTAAAGTTGTTATGAATATCAAGCAAAAGAGAGAGGTTCCAGCTGCAGTTGCAGGAAACATACATCAGGGACACTCAATCTACCAGTGTTTGAAAACCAAATAGCAGCAATCTACTTATGTAAAAATGGTGTTATGCCATCCCACGAAGAGTTAAATGAGGGACTGTTGATTAAATCTCGTGATGGCAAAACAGTGGCATCGCATTGCATTTAATATCGACGCTCTTACCTATCCTTTGTTGTTCCCACGAGGAGAGCAAACTTTTATCAAGGATTCATTACCGAAACATTATGCTGTTAAACGTGTGTGTCAAGAAGTTGTGGAGTTTTCTAATGAACCTTCTCTTGCTGACCTTCACGCTGATGCTGGTGACGCGGATATGTATGCAGATGACGAAGAGAAATCTAATTCGCGAAAGCAGACACGAAAGCCACGATTTATCTCCCGTCGCGAGTTTGTTGTGTACATTTTAGCTCGTCGTGGTGATATTCGTAATCATCGCATCATAGGCACTGGGAAACTCTACGCTCAATACGTGCTGCATTGTTTTGCTCGTATCGAAGCGGATCGGTTGTGTGCCATTGGAAAACACTTAACGGAGGTGCGAAGTACGACAGCGAGTGCTCTGTTCAAGTATCTTGACGGAAAGCTGAATGAAAAGGGTGTAAAGCTCGGAAAGCTTGTAAACATGCCGAAATCATTTGTTGGAAGCAGAGAATGGTATCAGAAATTATATAGTGATGCTATGGCGGTTGCACTGCGGCTAGGAAAACCGGATTTATTCATTACATTCACGGGAAATCAAGAATGGCCGGAGATCAAAAACAATTTAGCTGGAAGATTCGATTCGTGGGTAACGGATCCTATGCTTTGTTGCCGTGTATTTTTCCTACGTCTAACAGAATTGATTGACGACATCAGAAAAAAGGAAATATTCGGGAAAGTTCTGGCTTTGCATGGCAGTATAGAATTCCAAAAAAGAGGGATGCCGCATGCTCATCTTCTCATTACATTGGAAAAAAATTGATACACCGGAGAAGATAGATGCGATCATATCAGCTGAAATTCCAGATTACCCAAAAAGGGATGATCCTCATAGGGAGCGTAAATTGCGACTATTTGAACTTGTGCGAAGACATATGATTCACGGCCCATGTTCCGAAAGAGCTGATCTTGGATGTAGGGAGGCAGATTCGAAAAAGTGTTCTAAAGGATATCCAAAGGAATATAGAAGTGTCACGGAATTGAGCAATGGTGGATATCCATTCTATCGCAGAAGAGATGATGGCAAAGTAGTTCCTGTGGGCAAGCTCGGCAAGACATTCGCAACGAACAAGGACGTTGTACCGACTAATCATTGGCTTCTTTTGAAACATGAATGCCACATAAACATAGAAGTTTGTTCTGCCATTCAGGCGTTCAAATATATTTTCAAATATGTCTTCAAAGGTCCAGATTCTGTAGTTTTCGAGTTATTGCGCAATGACGATCTGATGAAGAAGCAAGTATATACGAATGAGAAGAACGAGAAGTGCGTTAACGTGGATATGCGACAAGAGTATAGATTGGCGCGATATGTGTCTCATGTTGAAGCTGCATATCGGATACTACGTTACCCTATGCATTATAATACGCATACGTTTATCTCATTGAGACCTCATTTACCGAATGAGGAGCCGGTATTCTTTACTAATTCACCGTCTACTGCGAGAAGAAAGAAGAGCAAACTTTTGGCATACTTCGATCTTGTTAGACGCGATGAACGAGCTAAAGGGATGACGTGGATAGAAGTCGCTGAAAATTACCGTTTCGACGGTGTCAAATATGTACCTTTTAAGCGCAGTGGGCTGCGTATAGCTAGATTATGCTCAGTGAATCCAAAGCTACTTGATTGTACGCCGTTAGGAAGATCCTATTATACAAAATAGGCGTTCAGTCCTTTGTCGACTTGAGAACTGTTAACGGGAAAACTTATTCATCCTTCATGGAAGCTGCGGAAGCTGCAGGTTACATGGAAAGGAGCTCGGAATGGGAAGAATGTTTGCGGTGTGCATCGTTAACAGACAAACCCTCGGAAATACGACGCCTTTTTGCACATATAGTTTCATACTGTAAGCCGACAAACGCTCCGGAGCTGTGGCATAAGTTTAAGGCTGAGATGCGTGCTGATAGGCGTAGTAGTTCATATGATGAAGAAGATTTGAAGTCATTGAAGTGCATCAAACGAATCGTTACCGTTAATGGAATGTCGATGATGGACTGCGGTCTTGAAGGGATTTTCAATGAACTTATCAATAAAGAGGATGTTTCAGCGGAGGTTTTGGAAGAAAATGATGATGCTACTGATTCAGCTGCGGATTTTGCTGAAAATAACAATCGAATAAACCTTTTCAATGCAAAACAACGAGAGATCGTAATGAAAGTTGTCGCCACAGCAAAGTTTAAAAAAACGGAGGGAAATCGTTTATTCTTTGTCTATGGAAAAGCAGGATGCGGCAAAACATTTACGTTTAACACACTGATTGATGAATTGCGAAGAGAAGGTTTATCTGTGATTGCTGTCGCATCTACAGGTATCGCGGCTACCCTTTTGAGGAATGGTCGTACGGCACACACTACTTTTTCACTACCACTCAAAGGGCTACGCGCTGATTCGGTGGCTGGAGTAGATCCTTCATCCGACAAAGGGAAGATGCTACGGAATGTGGACGTCATAATCTGGGATGAAATTTCTATGCAGAGTCGCTTTGCCGTGGAATGTGTGCAGAGGTTGCTACGTGATGTGGCCGCACCAGTGAACAGAAATTATCTTTTTGGTGGAGTTGTTATGGTTTTTGGAGGAGACTGGTGTCAGTTCCTTCCTGTTGTTCCTGGAGCATCAAAAGTGGACACAATCAATCTGACTTTGAAGTCAAGTGAACTCTGGCGTTATATGCAGATTTATGTGCTGGATGAAAACATGCGACTCGACCCCGGTGAGGAGGAACATGCAATATGGTTGCGTGATGTCGGAGAAGGAAAGAATTTCACTCCTGACGGTGTTGACATGGAAATTCCTGTGGAAATGTGTATGGAAAGTGAGAAGGAAGTTCTCGAATGGATGTACACTCTTGAAGTAATTCGTTCGCCTAGTCTCATAAGCAATATGGCCTTATTGACAGTTCGAAATTGTGACGCTATGGAGCTGAACGAGATGGTTCTGAAAATGACGCCGGGTGAATGCGTGGAACTGTATGGTGTTGATACCCCAGCATGTCAGGATGAAGACCTTGTGGGTTTGCCTTGTGACGACGAAGAATTTATTCATCATCTGACTCCTCCTGGTATGCCTCCGTACAAGCTGAAATTAAAACGTGGGGCTATAGTAATGCTACTCCGCAATATCAATGTAGAAGATCGCCTGTGTAACGGTACCCGCCTTGAAGTGCTATCATTCTTGTGCGATAATCGAATGCTTCGCTGCAGAAACCTGTTAACTGGAAGAGTTGATCATATCACCAGAATGCCGTTAGACTACGCGGATGAAAACACAGGAGTAGCTTTTCGTCGTTTTCAATCTCCACTAAGATTGTCATATTGCATGACGATAAACAAGAGTCAAGGGCAAACGTTCGACAAAGTTGGCATCATAATGCGCACACCTTCGTTCGCGCATGGAAGCACGTATGTTGCGTTGTCGAGGGCGAGGGCAAGAGAACATTTGAGAATTACAATCAATTCTCGCCGAAAAGTTTCCCAGTCACTGAAAATCAGGAATGTTGTCTACAAAGAAATGATTGAGTGAGAGCAGCGGATAGTGTGTCTGCAGGTGAGACATGGTTATCGCTGTTCTTTTATTTTATCAACATTGGTAACGACAGATGCCGTTGAGTGAACGTGCACGCGAACTTCAGCCGGCAGCGTAATCGAAAAGGGGCATCAAATAGAGACTAATGGAACTATGGTTCTTCACGTATAGTGATACCTTGAGTTTTTCTTGTTTTTCTTGCTTCAAAGTTGCAAGCTTCGGTTTTAGTGTTTCTAACATCCTGTTGCTTGTTTCACTACATGTCAAGAGAAATCAAACAGTCTACCTTTTTGCTACGAACTTGCCCTCGTAGTCTTTTGATATACAAGGAGATTGTTTCCAGTGAAGACACTTACTATCTCGTCGATTTTATCTAATCACACTTTCTAAGTATTCGTGAATTTGCTCTTTCGTATACTTCGTGTATGTTATGCTATGTATCTCTTTTCTTATGCTACTTGGTCATTTGGTTGTGTGGATGTTGTTGTTCCGTTTATCAATCTCATAGTATCGTGGTAGTACCGTAGAAATTGTGATATCAGTTTCGTGAATTTTGTAAAAATTAATTGGTTAGTCATGCATATTAATGTCCAGAATAACACATGTTGGTTTTATCGCGTACATACGTTATAGAGCCGTTATTTTTTATCTTATTGGATAAAATGTGCGAGGCAAAACATGTACTCATTGCTTTTGTTGAATCTAAGAAGATACCTGAACTTGTATTCATTTTTGCAGTAGTACATGTGATATCGTCAACGTAACAACTATAGAAGGATTAAATGCATAAATAAATTTAGCGTATGCCGCATTCTTTTTTTTTCATATCTCTCAATGGATTCCTTTGAGATAAGTGTCCATTTTTCGGACTCTCCACTTACTACGGAGGACCGTGAAGTAAGGAACATTATTACGCGTATTTTCATTATTTTCGAGATTTTTAATTCAGGTCTTAAGGGTTGCAGAAGAGGCGAAGAACAAAGACGACAAAAAATTGTTTGTTCTTGAGTGGCTTAGCCAAAATGAAGGTGAGTAGGTTTACATATGCATGAGTTTCACTGTAATATCGATTTTACAGCCACGTGGAAGAACAGCACAGAGCGAGTAGCTCACTATCGTAGGAAGGCTAGGATAGAAATGGAGAAGAAAGCAAAATCAATCAATGAACAATCAAGGAAGGACTGCAATGGAAGCAACGGAGATGAGAAGCAGTAATACTTCCACATTGTAAATTTTGGAATCTTAGGTTTTTCTGGATTTCTATCATGTTGTGATCATGTGATTGTGTGATCGTCTTGTGCTCCTTATCATGTTGTTTTTTATTCATTGTTGTGTTGTTACATTAATGCAAAGACAATAAACGTATTCGATATCAACACGTTTTGCTTTACAATCTGGTGGAATTTCCGTATTTTCCGTGCATTTACTGTTCTTGTTTTTTTTTATTACATAGAGTTGCCCATATGTGGGAATTAAAAGAAACCAAAAAAGAATAAAAACACAAAACTAACAGAATGACAGCATCCATTAACAATGACAAGATCATTCAACCTAGGGTACAACACATCAATACAAACATTTTGACGAAGGAAAGCACAAATGTAGCAGCGCTAACACCAATGGGAACAAAAGAAAGAATCATCTAAACATCATAGACACCATTGAAAACACCTTCTTCCCACCTGTAGAAACAATATTAAAGTATACATTCTGAGAAGAGTAGAAAACATACCTGAACGCATGATACATGAACATTGGGAATAATCTCAGTACGCTGAATCTTCAGCTTTCGAGATTTAGAAAGCATTCATTAGGAATTGTTTTCGCGCTATTGTCCGCTGCGGCGGGTGCGCCTTGTACAAGGTGCGCCTTATATCCCGGAAATTAGGGTATATCAATCTCATGGAAGTGATTTCTTACACCAGTATTCCACTGGGCCGCTAGTCTTTAGGAAAGTATAACGCATTCTCTCACTCCATTGTTTTGAAGCTGTTGGCTATTTCTCACAGCTGCATAGCAGACTTATTCTATTGAATCAATCAAATCAAGCAGAGAAACTCAAACAAAAAAATGTAGAAATAGTCCCTTCGTCGCAACCTTACGAGAAGAAATCCTGAAATCTTTTCTTGAAAGCTTTTCCAGATCCTTTCCAGAAGCATGTTTCACAGTATTAGAGAAACAATCGGGATTGCACCTAATGTCAAATGTGTATGGGCGCTATGAATGCACAGCTTCAGCTGCCTAAATCAGTCATCTAATCGTAGAATCAAAGAAAAAACGTCAAATTACCTTTGACAACGCTTCTTTTGTGATGTTGCAACTGGTGAGCGGATCACGTCTCTATCGCCATCTCAAAAGGGGTGAGGAGGGGGGGGGGGGTGGCCCTGGGAGGCCTAAGCCTCTCAGGCCTCCTGAAATCAACCATTTGAAACGAACTGCAAGCATCAAACACGACGTGAGCAGCAGAAATGAAGAGGAAACGAGAGCTTTTCATGAAAATCCCAATATTCCGCGAAGTGATTGAAGGCGGCATTCTAGCGGCGTCGCCCGCAAGGATGCACAACGCACTTTCACAGACGCCGTCGGGAAAGGTGCCACCACCTCGACGTGGTAGGGGCACGTCGAGATGCCGGCAGCTCCCTCTCTCAAAAGAGCACGCTATTTCCCGTGCTCTCTGACCTGCCGGCAGCTGCCATCTCGCGGATTTCGGTGAGCTGCCGGCAGGTTGCCGGCAACTGACCTCGCGAAGTTGCCGGCAGCTCCTCCTGCGATTCCAGATATTTTACTCAAGGAGGAGTTCAGGAGCCGCAGACTTTTATGAAGTTTTCTACAGAGTCGAGGCGGCATCTTCATCGAGAAAATTTTTTGGAAAAAGGCTTAGGACGGCCTAAATTTGGGGTCTCTCTTTCTGGCCACCTCACGGAAAAGGTGCCAGCGAGCTGCCAACCAGACCTGCCGCCAGGTCGGGGGATTACTACCGGCCCTGAAACCTTGTTACACGATGAAATGTTTTGACTAACATATCCAATATCGTTACAGAATGCGCTTCATTACTGTCATCAAGTTCATAAATCACCTCATGTCTTCAACAGAATATTTTCAGCAAAGAAGCCAACACAGCGAAGTGCGATTTTACAAAACTTCTTAATTTGGTGACAGTCACATCATGCGAGACGATAGAGTTAGATCATTTTGGAGCCATTTCCATTCGTGGTATCGTTCATTACAAACCGAAGAGGTGGGATTGATTTTTTGATAGTCTCACTTTGTCACTGATTGTCCTACAAGATTATAAGGCATCCTGGAGAACAGTGTCGTCATCACTCATAATCAGGGTTCGGCACGAGCTGGCACCAGGAAATTTTCAAAACGAAGTCCCCCTTGAAATTTGCTAATTTTTACGAAGTCTCCCTTGATTCTCAAAGATATCCCCTCTAAAATCCTTAAAAAACCCCCCAAAAACGAAACGTCGACTAAAAAAAAAGGTCGCCGTCGCCAATTTTGCGTATCTCTTCGCCCACAAAAACGAAACCCCCTTTGCTTTTTGCTCCAAAAACGATATCCAGCTTGCCCCGTGCCAGCTGGTGCCAGGCCCTGCTCATAATCGTCCTGGAACAAAGCTACAATTCTCATTGCTAAATAATGCTGCCTTCTATAAATGGTTACACGGAGAAGTAACGAGCAGCTTCCTGCGCTTTCGCATTACTCATCGCATGAGAGTGAATTTGCCTTCACAATTCTTGTCTTTTAGTCAAAGTCGTGCTTACTTACAAACCAGTCGTGACAGATGACCCAAAGCTTATACTACAAATTTCTTGTTTTGTGTGAACCATTTCATTTTTCATACTAATAGTTAGATGGATTTTCGTATTCATTGGACTCTATATCTGCCAGATCAACTGAGTAAAAAAAGTTCAAAAAAGTTCTAAAAATTTAAAAAGTCTGGGGTTGCATAGCATTAGGTCATGGACTAAACTTTCATCTTTTCCAACAATCCTTCCTATTTGAACTCCATCCATTGACAGGGGAATCGCATTCAGAGTAGCCTTATGTGCTTCAAAGCACCTTCATATCTTCATAAGCTCAAAGCAATTTTCTGCTTGATTTGGGCTTACTTGAAAATTCCAAATTTAAGAACTCCTAAACTACATGGTAGAGTTGGACACGATGAAATTTTATCGAGTGTAGTGGGTGCCTCTAAAGAGAAAAACTAGGAAATGCATATCAGTGATTTGGAACGCTAGTAGTGTATCTGTATATTGGAGATTTGATATGGTGTAAGAAATTCGCTCTTTACAGGTAATTAGCTACTCCCGAAGACCAAAGCAATAAAGAAGGAAGTAGATCTGTGGCGATATTCCGAACACAACACGTTTATTTCAAATCGGATTAAAGGCAGTGTCCGGGCAAAAACTCGATTTTGAGATTTTGTGCTTACTTGGGCCTATTCGCTACGCTGAATCCGAAAATGCACATTGTAGAGGGCGAAAATGGCGAAAAACGGCTCTAACACAGGAGGGGAATGAGCAGGTGGGCGGGGTCCTCCCCACTGCGAATTTGTTCCCGGCTTCCGGAGCGACCTTCTCGCTTCCGGTTTTAAGTCAATCATTCGCACTTGACGGTAGCGATGTTAGGACGGCTAGCGGAATCGAGAAAATCGCTCCGGGAGCTGGGAGCGTGAAACGCACTGGGGAAAGACCCGCCCACCTGCTGATTTCCCTCCTGTGTTAGAGCCCTTTTTCGTCGTTTTCGTGCTGTCCAATGTGGATTTTCGGATTCAGCATGGCGAATAGGCCCGTATAAGCACAAAATCTCAAAATCGAGTTTTTGCCCGGACACTGCCTTTAAGGTGGAAGTTCATGGAATGATTAGTTATCGTTGATGGTTACTCCACCAGATGCGCCTCTCAATCTTAAAGCACAGAATTCTTGGAAGAGAGAACATAGTGAAATGCTAGTTTATAAAAACTTAACTCAAACTTGCAACGCTGTCAAATTTTTGAGATCCAGCTTTTGAAGTAAAAAGAGAGTGCGAGAAAGTTTACGGAATTCCTCATTATTTGAAGTGTTCTTTGCCAGTTGATTACTGCTTCTGCTAGGAGTTTGTGCATAGAGTTGTGGCTCAAATGTTTATCATTCACTTTTTTTTGTTAAAAATTTCGCGTTCTCATAGGCTTGTTGCATAGTGCGCAATGCTAATCAAGACAGGTGTAAATTCAGAGAAAAAGAAAGAGTACGTATGCTCTAAAACGACTTTATAGTTCCAATCAACAAAGTTTAATTGATTCAGAAAACTGTGCCTTCCATGTTATTAGAGCAAGATTTTCAATCAGAGTTCTCGTTTACGCACCTGCTTTTGTCTGTAAAGTGGCGCTATCTCAAACTTCTTTTGGTATATCTTTGGTGAATGCAAAAAAACATTGAGTAGTACGTAACCAGCTGCGAATTTATTTCTTGGTGACGTAAGCTTTTTCCCACTTTTGTAGCTCCTGAAGAATCTAGATAAAATCTGTTCCTATTTCAGCCCAACTTACGCTGTCCAAGCTTCAATCTGTCCTCACTTTGTTCCGTTTCCTCCACAAATTTCACACCTCATTGAACTTGCGCTTTGCTTTCCTCAGAATCGCCAGGCATGACATCATCTTTCATCGCCCTACTTTTCATTTTCAGACTTTTGGATTTTCCAAGAATATTACATGCTCGAACGATATGCAATGTAGTGAAGAACAAATATAATCTGAATGATTTTATGCAAATGTGGGAGTGTATCCCTTAACAGCTTCTTCTAACGCTTTATCTTCATGGAACCCAATGTGTGATATCATTCCAGCGATCGTTGGTCCCGTCCCACCCGGGTCATGTGGAGCAAGAAGTTCCACATCGATCTGCTGGAATGTGTCACCTTTCGCCAGACGTTTTACTTCAGCCTGTCATCAGATTTCCGCGAGATACATATCGGCAGTCCATGACGCTGCTTTCCATCTTGTAAAGCTCTAGCAGGGACAATCAGCATCACGAAACCTTCTTAGGAGCTTACATGAGACTGAAGTAGCGTTTTGCGCAATATACACCAGCATCATCTTCGCCGACAATATCCAGATATCTTCTCGACTTTTCCCAAGCCATCTTAATATCCGCACTTATACCTGACTTTACTTCCAAAAAACTAGTATTGTCGCACATCTTATTTTCCTCATCACATTTGTACAACGATTTTCCAACAATGATGGTTTCCTAGCTCAGTATTTCTTCTTTGTCTTTTCAAAAGCAGGTGGCACAGTGAACTCAAACCTTTGATTCTTTGTGATCACGCGTGTAGCTAATTTTTGCCTATAGGGTTTGAGGGTAGCATCTTGCAGCTCAATTCTTGTATGGGAAAACTGTGCGGAAGAATTCTTAAAACCTTTGAAGAAGCAAACTTCATATGAGTAAAACGGGATTTTTCTTTTGAATCAGCAGCGAATTGCTACTTCATTTGAAATGCTGTACGTTTCCATAGCGAACTAGTCCGAGTATGGACATCAGCCTTCATTCAAATACTCAAAATCATAACTATGTTGGCTTCGTTTATCTCATCCTGCACGATTTCTGCATTATGTAGAACAAGAAAGACGAATTCTGTGCAATAAGGCTCATAAATTTGCCAAAAAAGTGTCCCTCTCGCAAGTGCCAAGGCCCAGCATCCCTCGAAGATGAATTGAAATTCTAAATTTAATTGGAGATAACACTGCTACGTTTTTTTCGATTTTTCAAAAAAGTCGAGAAGCTGGAAACTTCATGCCGGGTACACGTGTGGCGTAAAAATCTTTTCTTATGTTCAGATAATTATGACAAATTCATACAAACTGCTGCACTTGCAGTTCACAAGTCAGTAGAATTTCCTAAATCTACTTGAATTTTGATGTCAGCAATCCTCATTGTGCTAGTCACAAAGATGAAACTTTACTATGGGAACAAAATAGATAAAACGTTTTGAATTTGTAAAAGTTGTGCACAGTATCCGCTCGCACCCACCTACATAATAAGAGCAATTCTTGGAAAAATCCACAATCTTGCAATCAGTTGCGTTCAAAAACATACAACGGATGCGTCTTTATCAATGTTTTACATCGAGTAGTAGCTAGATCTCTTACGGAAAGAATCTGTAATCAAGCGGTGCTTTGTTTCTTTGTTTTAAAATACATGATACTGTGGTGGGCACACAATAATATAATAGTTCTTCATCTACGATTCTGATTCTAATCGCATCTCTTTCCAAAAATACTTTGCTTCCACTCTAAAAGTACTGCCATCTCATTTGCTAATCCTACGCACTCCAACTTTCAGTGTGAGTTTTGTTTATATTTTTACACTAGTATGCCAAAAATAACTTTTGTTATGTACATAAAAATATTTCACTATGAAAAGTGCACCGAGCAGATTTTTTAAAGCTTCCCCATATGTCATGAAATATTCAAACAGTACGGTAACTTTTTCCATGTGAGTTAATTATTGAAGAACATCTGTTCCACAAGAAAGAAGCTGAACTAATTTTTTTCACTTTGGGATTACGCTGAGCGATCAAAGGCAGAAGCTCTTGCCCAGCAGCCGTTCTTTCATCAGATGAGCACATGGTTATGTCTTGATTCCATTAGTGATTTTCAGTTCTCTCTCCTCTTCGTTTATCAAGCTTTTCTAATGGTTCGATATAGATAGAATTACAATGCTAACGGCTCAAATGTTATATTGCTTCTTCAGTTAGAACGAGTGTTCATTCTCTTGTCCTTTTGTTCGTAAAGAGACTTGGGCATATCCAAAAGTTTCGGGAACTTCAAGTCCTGTCATGTAAGTTTTGAGCTTCCTGATATTTCCTTTATTCCTTTGGTACGACCGTAGCTTTTTAAACAAGCAACGCTTGTTGAGCCTTTATAATGCACACTTTTCCTTTGCAGTATTCTTGTTTGCATGCAAAAAACGAAATCGAGAACTCCTGTGACTCGCAAATTTCTCTCAAATTTGCATTCCTCAATACGCTTGGATGTGATGGGCTTCATCAAAAATTACTCTATGATATTGCCATAAACGACACCTTTCCTCTCAAGAATTTGCCCAATGTCTTATAGTGTGGCTTCGCGTTTCTAAATTAAAGCATCATCTGTGATATTCGTGTTTACCACTCAAACAATCGCAAATGACTTCCGGGGAAAACTGAAGCTTTAAAACTTCCGGGGACACTCTTATTAGAGCTACCAAGTAGATCGGCCATTTAGTCAAGAGAAGCGTTCGCTCCAGAAGTGGAAGTTCTTCCCCGGAATTCATTGCGATTGTCTGAGTACTCATTTCAAAATGCTAATAAAGCGTTGTTATCTCACCAATGCAGCATTCTAAATTCCCGAATGTCGTTGCTATTAAAATCCTGCCTTCACATGCCTTTACCCTCCCCTCTTGTATGAAGCGCATAACTTCAATCTCACTTCATTTTCATCTTCATTCGATACGCTCAAGGCGCTCCATCTAAACAAAAAACAAAACAATGTAATGTTAGTCAAATAGTAAACACAACCAGGGAGTCATAAAATCATCATATAGCTTGAGCGCAACCTAAAGTACTGGCCATAGATACCACACCACTTTGATAAGTGGAGAGCCTCATAGCAATTTCTCAAGCCTTTTGCAGCGCATTTAACTAAATTATCAGCTTCGAGAACACTGACCATGGAAAAATAGTGGTTGATCCGATGTAGGTCGTGAAGCCATACACTTCTGATACGTGTCCTTCGAAAAGCCGTTGGACAAAAATGGCAATTTTTGCACAATGCAGACAACGGCGCATCCACAAGTATAGTGACAGATATCACGCAAAGAATATGATTCGAGTGTTAGGCTGTGTTCTACTGATCCCGAAATCCGGGAACAGTTCCAGCACAGCGCTCAACTCGAGGCTCTGTGCTGGAACTGTTCCTGGACTTCGGGATCAGTATGAACGCAGCCTTAAGGACATGACATAGGAGAGAATATGTTACACTCTGCTAAACCGGCTCCTTTGCTCCTGTCTTCTGTCCCATTCCACATATTCTAAACAATTTCTTTCAATCCAAACATATTTTTGGCATTTGTGAATTTTTTGGATGCGAAAGAACGGTGTATTACCTGTAATGTTGCTGCTGTGGACGCTGATATGCTTTGAAAAGATATGAATCTGTTGAAGCTGTCTAGAATTTGCTGAGCGCCGCTGTACAGAGTTGCAAAAGCAGAGCATAATTTTGTACTATAGCGATATGCTTGCTTGGAACATCGAGTTCATCCTCAAGGGAAGGTATGCGAAGATTGTTCTAGAATAAAATACTCGACTTTGCATAATCTCTCGCAAAGCCGGTTGCTTCTTATGTGTACAGACGACGTACTGACATGAAAAAGGAACTCTGATAGATTCGTGTTTTTCTGTCAACGCATCAGAAAAACAAATGAAAAAGTGACCAGCTGTGCATTAGGTTTATGAAGATGAGTCAATCTTTCCATAGTTGGTAAGTCTGCAAAAAATGAAACGATCATCCAGTGGAGCAATTTTTGTGGTCCTCGACCTTCGATAACCGGAATAGTGAGTTTATGGTATGGACCCGATTTGCAAAGACCTTTGAAACATGTCATTACTTTCTAAACCATAAGAAAAGGTAATTGTATGCAAACTAACAAGGGAATCGTGTCGAGTCAAAATGGCCTTTCCAGATGAGACCCATACTGCGTTGAAGAGCATCAATAGATGATTCCAAATCTGCTTTCCAAATCTGCCAAGCGCCTCTGGACGCCGAGATATGCTCGTTTTTAGGTCAAATAATTGAACGCAAAACTGAAGCAAAATCGCCCAAATTTGCTCAAATGATCCAGTGTCAAGTATCAGAGCTGTTTATGCAATGGAAACATTTTATAATATGCAAATACTCAACATTGCTTTATCTGAGCGTTGGAAAGATTGTAACAATCAATCTTACCTAAATTCTGCATTCATTTTTCGTTCCGAGAGAACAGTCATAACTCGGCGTCCAGAGGCGTGAGGCGCTTGGCAGATTTGGAAGGCAGATTTGGAATCACCGCTTAATACTCTTCAAAGCAGTATGGGTCTCATGTGGAAAGGCCACTTCGACTCGACACGGTTCTTTTGTAAGTTCAAAGGTTATATACCGCACAATGTACAGTACGACCTGAATTAACTTGCACTAGAGGAACAGCAAAACGAAACTGCACAAGATTCTGTTTCTTCAAATATAGTCGCAGTGGAACGGATGCCACAACCAAAGCCGTGAGTTTGCTCTTTCATTTGATTATAGAATGTTTGTAACTTGATTGAATTCCACTTGTTCCAGAGCATTGCCAAAACGAACAAAAACTCGTACACTACTCCGCTCTATTTTCTCGCTCATTTGCGGCGGAACACGTGTTTTGCTGTAAATTCTAATTACGCTTTGTAATGAGAACTGCTCTCCCCAGAGGGTTCTATTGCTGTGCTTTGGTGAAATGAGTAACCGTCACAGTAATATAATATGTTACAATGCTATACCGATGGATACTTTCTGATTTTCCTTCAGATTGATTGAAATGACTGGAAACAATCTTTTGTTGCGTACAGTGCCTCTGTTTAAGTTAGTCAAATTGCATCCTTTACCTCGAATTGGTTGTGATCGTGTGAGAGAGTTTCTCCTATACTGATCCAAAAAAATTGTCCGGCTCAAGCAGATGACATACGACTTTGGCTCACAGGCGCGTAGCATCGGAATTCTACAAGTACATTTGCTACAAAGAGCCTCGGTTTATACTCAAAAAATCAGATTACAACGAATCGCTGTGAGAGCTACAATTATTCTAAGAATGTAGGTCTTATTGCTGTTTTTTGACAAGATCAAGGACATGTAAACTTCTACAAGTACTCATATTTTTTACTCTTTTTATCTTTTGCTCCGCATAATTTTTTTCAATTGCACTGTTTTCTACGAAGCGTCTCTTCAACTCCAGTCCAACGATATCTTCAACATTTGTACATTCTGTGGCGAAGAAAATTCAAGTATATCCACAGATAAAAGAGTGCTCGCAGATATTTCATCACTTGCCATTCATGTATGTAGGAACTTAGAAAACTGAAGGCAACTTTTATA